GCACTGGGTGTTATGCACAAACAATGAATCATGGAACACTACATCTAAAACTAATGATGTAATGTATGGGGATTAACATAAGAATAAAAAAGAAAACTAAAAACAAAACAAAACAAAAAAGAGTATCCTTTCTTTTGAAGGCTGAATAATATTCCATTGAATGTATATACCATATTTTGTTTATCTGCCATCCTTTGGTGGACACTTGGGTTGCTTCCACATTTTAGCTAGCGGGATCTTATTCATCCTTTTTCAACTCTCTAAAATCTCCTTTTAAATTTTAATTTTTAGATCTGGCCAAAGCCATAGTGGTTAAAAAAGTTCTTGAGGAGGTAGACCAACGAAGCAAAATACTCACCACCAGGCTCCACTCCCTGGAAGAGAAATCTCAAAACAATTAATTTAAGACACAAGAGGGAGCATATGCCAGACACTCTCTAAGAAAAGAGAGCATTATGTCTGGAAAAATGAGCAAGGCTAAGAAAAAATGACTGTCCTATTTTCTTTCTGTTACTGAAATATAAGCACTGTGTGGGCAATCAATAGTGGTATCTTCCCATTCATCTGGAAGAATGTCACATACCAATTTGATGAGTCATTTGATTGCCCGACAGAAAATGTCAGTTCTTTGTATTCAATAAACCTTCTTCCTTTAGCAAGTTACCACTGGTGGTGTTGTCTTAACTTTAAAATGCTCGTGTCTGTGGTACAGATGTATGAACATCTAATAGCTTTTAATTTATATGAAAATTTTTACAAAAACATTGACAGGCTTCCCCCTAGATTTTCATGAGGATTTCCCAATAATTCAAGATAAGATAAACTCAGAAGGAATAAAAATACTTCCACTTAAATCTCCAATCTGCCATGCTGTGATATAATAACAAGCCTCTTCTCTTTCATAATAGCTACGATGTAAGCAATTCAGCTTCATCTGTAAAATACTACTACTTCTCTTGAGTGGTTATTGTAAAGATTAAACAAATAAATTATTGGATCATGCACTCAAGGAGCAAGCATTCAATAAATGCTAACTCAGTTTTTCATATTCGATATTTATAATGAGGAATTTTCAAATCTCATTTCCTTTTTGAATATGTATTTAAACAATATTCCAAGTACAGGGAGGTTAAGCAAAAGTTCTGGTTTAGAATTCCAGTTCTATTAATGGAGTCATTCACTTGTATTACAAAGTATGCTTGATGCTTATAACTCTCTTGACCAATGGATCCATCTCTAGTAAAGGAAAATAAATCAGATGAACTGAAAACATAATTTTCTCAGATCAAATATTGCCCCTAGATACTTTATTGACTCTCGGTCTTCTGTGGATGGACGATCCATATTGTAATCCATCCATGAAAATTTGATTTCAGGCTTCATCTGAAAATTAAGCAGAAAAGATACTGGGATCCTTCAAGGACACTAGAATTATCCTTGAATTACTTTTATTATCTTCTTCTAATGATTCTTAGCCAGAGGCCACTACAGTCAAAATGCCTAACAGTATCCTCCATCAGATTATGTGAAACAAACCATTATAGTCTTGGAGAAAATTCCACTTAGAAAAAATATCTTGTAATTATCTAAGTGCTGAAGGAACGTACACCACCTTTCCTACCTATCATCAAATCCCACCTCATTAAAATGATGCTGCCAGATGTAAATTCTGACACATTTGTCAAAATTTATAGCCCCAAAGACATAAAAAGGGCAAATTTAAAAATTTCTGTAAATTACACCTAGTGGTATCTGGGAGCTATTTCTCCATCTCAGAAGAACCAATTCTGTACATCTCTTCCCAACTCCCCACTTAGTGATGTCACCTTGGTAGCTTGAAATCAGCCATGGAGAAGATATTTACACCAGAGAAATCGGCTAACACTACAAATCAGGAATCCCTCCTCCCTTGAGAGTTGGTTAGTAAATATTTACTAGCACATCATTGATTGCCCCTCAATAAAAATTTTTTTTAAAAAACCCACAGTGTTCCGCCGATCGCGGAGCCCGACATGGAGATCACAACCTGAGCCAAAATCAAGAGTCAGACTGAGCCACGCAGGCGCCTACACACAATGTTTAATGTTTTAGTATGTGACCTCTATGACCTGGCCCTGCTCATCCCTCTACTCAAATCTTACACTCTGACCCTCACCCTCAGTTCTAACCATATTGCCCTTTATTTTACTCCTTAAATACAAGTTCATCCTGCCTCGGAGCCTTTGTGCTAACGGTTCCCTCTGCCTGAAATGCACTTGCCCCAGATTCCCCTATGGCTGGTTCCTTTTTATCATTCCTATCAGAAGAGCTGTTTCTGACCACTCTAGCCAAAGTCGCTAATGTATCACCCTGTCTTATCTCCTTGAGAACACTCATCACCATACAAAATTATCTTGTTTTGTTTTATTTCTTGTTTGGTGTTCCTTCCTCTGAACTAGAATATGAGCTCAATAATGACAGGGATGTCATCCATTTTGTTGAAGATCATATTTCTAGCACCTAGAACAGTACCTGGCGTCTGGTAGGTACACATTAAATATTTGCTGAATGAATGAAAGAATGAATGCATTTATTTTGCATTTATTTATTTTTTAATTTATTTGAGAGAGAGCATATGCAAGATCATAGGTGTACTGCTCCACAAACTTTGATTAAATGTACAAACCCATGTAACCACTATCTGGATCAGGAAATAGAAAATTAACCCCCTAGAACTACTCTTTCCTGCCTTGTCCACAGGCCCAAGCCATATGATTGTTAAATATTTTTTTTAAAGATTTTATTTATTTGTTTGACAGAGAGAGATAGTGAGAGCAGGAACACAAGCAGGGGGAGTGGGAGAGGGAGAAGCAGGCTTCCCGCGGAGCAGGGAGCCCGATGCGGGGCTCGATCCCAGAACCCTGGGATCATGACCTGAGCCGAAGGCAGACACTTAATGACTGAGCCACCCAGGCACCCCGATTCTTAAATATTTTAAATAGCACACCGGGTTTTAGCCCTTTTCCTTTGCTTGTTTCTTTGTTTTCTTGTGTACATCCGTAGAAAAGCCTTCAGGAGCTTTTATTTATAGGCCAGGAATGGTCTGTTGTATCATATAAAACCATATTCCACAATTCCGGGTGGTCAGTTTCCAGGGCACAAAAAAGTGACCAGACCAAGAGCTCTGTGACAACTCAGACTAGAATTGAGTGGTCCTGGCAGGTCAGAGCGTCATGGCTTATACCTTCTCCTCCTATTCATCTCACTAACGAATCCAACTAACATACCAAACTAAAGGAAAACATAGTCTCTAACTCACTTGTTAGAGACGGTAGCATCAAAGCACGGTTAAAGGGTCAGGCCCTGAACTGCCTGAATTCAAAATAATTTCTACCTGTTTCCAGCTGTGTGTTTTGGTTTTTGTTGTTTTTTTTTTTAAGATTTTTATTTATTGGAGATAAACAGAGAGCACAAGCAGGGGGAGCAACAAGCAGAGGGAGAAACAGGCTCTCCACTGAGCAGGGAGCCCAACGCAGGACTCAATCCCAGGACCCTGGGATCATGACCTGAGCCGAAGGCAGACGCTCAACCGACTGAGCCACCCAGGTGCTCCCCAGCTGTGTGTTTTTGACAAAGTTATCTAACTGCCCTATCCTTCCATTTCCTTACCTATAAAATGGTGATAATAATGATAATAATTCCTTCAGAGGGTTGTTAGGAGTAAATATTCAATTTATGTAGTTTGAAAAGTGTTTGGTTCATATTAAGCCCTCAATAAATGTAGCTAGCATGATGAAGAAATAGAAATGTAAAAATTCAGTTCATGATATCCAAGAACTTTAAAGACATAGGAAAACGTAGAGATGATCAAGTCCATGTTTCCTCCAAAGGCTACTGAGTCCCCAAGGGGATTCAGAGTCATCCATGGTACTCAGAATGAGAGATATAATCATATCAGTCCTTTTAAAGGTGAACAATAATCCTCCCTACTTTTCGATAAGGCTCGGGCAATGAATTTAATAAATCAGCCAACTAAAACAAAAGCATTCAGGAAAAAAATGACCTAATTCCAATGACTGTGTTGCCAAAATGGCAAGTCTGCAAAGAAAACAGAGCACAGCTCCCGATCCTATCCTTTGTGATGCTCATGCCTGCAGGAACACGGTGCCCAGCGTGGCCAGGATGTTCCTGCTCAGGTGGGAGGTACAACCTGGTACAGTGGGTAACATGCTTGAACTAGTGTCTTAGGAAGGAAGCAGCTGAAAGCTTTCCAGAAAGGGAAAAAGAACATCACTGCCTTGGTTCATTAGGGCCCTCTTGCTGCTTGATATAAAAATGGATATATTTATACACAATACTGAGAGAATATAGCTATAAATTTTTAATTATCTAGGAGATTTAGTAACTTTGAAACATAAAAACTTTAGTAACTTTGAAACATAAAAAAGTATATAGGTATCAGAGAAGTCTCCTTAACATTTATACCCTAGTTTTTCTAATTCTTTAACCCCCACCTCTAAAACTACATACAGACCTTTTCCACCATAATTTAAAGCTCTGCATTAGGCTGTGGATAATCTCAAATCTCAAGATGCTACAAGGACTTGGAAGTTGTATCGGAATATGAAAAAAGAAACACCCCTTCCTCTCTTCTTGGAGCTCTGCTCTGTGTAGGTGTGTTGGGGGCCCCAAGGCCATCCTCAGCTTCAACAATTCCCCAGAAGGACTCACAGAACTCAGAAAAGCTGTTATATTCATGGTTATGGTTTTTTATAGTGAATGGATACAAATTAAAATCCACAAAGGCAAAGGCACAGAGGGCCAGGTATAGAAGAGACAAGGCACAGTAGAATCATACAAACTGGGACTTATTTCTCCCAGAAATGACTTGTGACAACATATAGCTTTTCCAACAAGGGAAGCTCACAACATCTTGGTGTCCAGGGTTTTTACTGGGGGTCGGTCATGTTGCCAGGGGAGACCCATGTGACACACCTTAGTTTCTCAATTTCCAGCCCCTTCAGAGGCCACACTGATACAAGATAGCCCAAGGACCCCACCATAAATCCCACTGTTACATAAACTCTCTGGCATCTACAAAGGCACTCTAATCAGGCAAGATCTTCCAAGGCTTAGAGGTAATCTCTCAGGAGCTGGGTAAGGGCCAGACCTTTCTTTGGAATGTGCAGGGTTTGGGCACATTAACCCTTCACCGCCTGTGGGATCCCACAGCAGAGCCCCAAGACACTTCAGCATTCAGCTCAGAGCAATCATTCCCTACAACTCTTACCCCTGAACTGCTAGGATGCATGAGCAGTCCACACTCAAGACCTCCACGTCCCTTGGAATATCCAGCCTCTGTAGTCAAGTGCAGCTCATGGTAGAGTCCATATTTTCTTAAAATGAGTTCTATCTTAGAGAGACCTTCTTTAATATTTAGCATCTGTCAGGTCCCCACTGATCTGCACTGGCATATATCCAAAACCCAGTCACAGAGAAGACTTGCGACACATTCACAGAAGGCCCCTCAGTTCCCACACAAAGCAGAAGATGGAAACAATTACCCTTGGGTGTACCTAAATCTGCGCTCAGGATCAGAGGGATTTAATAGTGTTTGGAAGCATTGACTATATTAGAGGGATAGATGTGTGTGTGTGTGTGTGTGTGTGTGTGTGTGAAGAATA